CTGTGCCCATGGGGGGGGGTTTGCCCTGCTCCCCCCACCTCTCCTGCTGCTGTAACCCAATCCCTCGGGTATAAATACCCTGGTCCTGCTGCTTCCCAGGGGGATTCAGGCATCCAGCTGGGCCCCCATGGATTGGCTGGAGCGTAACGGGGGGGTCTCAAGCCCCATGAGAGGTTGAGGGTGGTGCCCCCACTGATGTTCCCCCCGCCCAGCCCATCCCTGCCATCCCAATTCCAGCCCCCCCAGACACTTCCCAGCAGATCCCGAAGCTGCGTCGCGCCCTTTATTTGCAGCAGGAGCTGGTGGGGTGGGGGGGCCTCAGGTCTTCTTCTGCTTGCGACCTGGGGGCGGGGGAAAGAGGGGGACAGGTTGTTGAGGGCCGGGAGGACCCCCCAGCCCGGTTCCTGCCCCGAGGGGACGCGGGGGGGACGCGCACGGAGCTCGTTGTTGTTGGCGATGGCCCTGGCGGCGCGGGCGCGGGGGCCCTGCTGGGTGAAGTGGTACCCGAAGCGGGTGACGCTGGGACACTGCTCCAGCATGGTGGCCATCTCCATCTCCACTGTGTCCCCCAGCCGCTGGCACTGCGGGGCGACCGGGCACACTGGGAAGTTGGGGACACCCCTGTCCCCTCCCCTGGGCACCCCCACGGCTGCTTGTCCCCCTACCTGGTTGTCCACCTTGAGCTCACTGAGGGTGCAGTTCTTGTACATGGCCTTGATGATGCTCATCATCCCGGCGCTGGTGATGAAGTTGGATTCGATGTTGAGGCTCTGCAGGGTCTTGTTCTCCTCCAGCATCTCAGCCACAGCCTGTGTGTCACCTCAGGGTGTCACCTCGGGGTGTCACCTCGGGGTGTCACCCAGGGCTGGCACCCCCCTCTCTGGTGCATCCTGGGCCACCAGTGCCCCAAACGATGGTGGAAAAGCCACTGTCACCTGCCCTTGGTGCCCAGGGTGGTGTTGGGGGGGCAAGAGGACCCATGTCCCCCATGTCTGGGGACACGAGGGGACACGGGGTGGGGACTCACGGTGGCCACGGGGTCGTTGCTGCGGGTGGCGACCAAGCTGAGCTTCCTGACGTGGGTGTTGGTTTTCATGGCCTCACAGATGGCCTTGAGCGTGGCGATGGGAATGTCCTGAGCGAGGGGACACGGGTGTCACCAGGGGCCTGGGGACAGCCCCGTGGGGAGGTGGGTGGCATTGAGGGGGTGGGGATGTCCCCAAGGGTATGGGGGGCATCTTGAGATGTCGCACAAGGGATTAAGTGGCACCCAAGGGAGCTGGGAAGTCACTGAGGGGACACAGATGCCCCCAGATGAGGACCAGTGTCCTGGAGCCACCCTGGGATAGGGACCAGCCCTGAGGGGACACCCCAGGATGGGGACTGGCACCCCAGGACCGGGACTAGCACCTTGGGGACACCTTGGGGACATTGCCACCAGGTGCCTCACCTTGATGTTGTTGAGGTTGACCTCCTCCAGAGCTGCGTCGTCGGCCTGGATCTGCCGCAGCGTCTCCTCCACGTTGGTGGGATTTGGGGGCTCATCAGGTACCGGTTTGTAGGTGTCGGGCTTCACCACGCCTGGGGTGCACACGCGTGTGCAAGGGGGCACACATGGCCGTGCACGGGGATGGGGACACGTGTGACCACTTGGGGGTGGGGACACAAGCGTTTGCACACATGCGTAGGGGTCACCACGGGGACTCCTGGAGTGATTGTGATCCCCAAATCCCCCCCCCCCAAACAGCCCTGGGGACCCCTGTGCCAGGGGGCAACACCCCCCCCCCCCAACAGCCCTGGGGACCCCTGTGCCAGGGGGCTCATCCTCGTGTCCCCTGTTCCAGGGGGCACTTGTCCCCCTGTCCCCGTGTCCCCAAGGTACTCACTGTTGATGCCCTCCGTGTTGGTGATGTCCCCGCTGCAGATGGCGTCGTAGTACTGCTTGTTGCTCATCAGGGTGTACATGCCCAGGATGGCTGTGGGGCCGGGGGGGTCAGGGGGTGTCCCAGGAGCCCCCTGGTCCCCTCATGTCCCCCCGGGGGTGGCTGCAGCCCCCCCAGCCCTGCTGGGGGGCACAGGGAGCGGGTGGGCTGGGGGCCAGTGGTGAAAGCCGAGCACAGGGGCACGGAGCTGCTTTTAGCCCGGCCCTGGCGGGGACCCAGGGAGGACACACGGGTGTGACACGGGGCTGGGGCAGGTGTGTGACATGCTGGGCCCTGCAACGTGTCCCCCGGGCAACTAACTCCCCTTGTGTAACACGTTGGCTCCGTGCGAAGCTGCCGTGGGACACGATGTCCCCCGTGGTGCAAGGTGGCACCTCGTGCAAGGCCGTGCAGGGACGCGGTGGCCTCGTGCAAGGCTGTGGTGTGACATGGTGGCCCTGTGTGAGGCCATGGTGTGACACGGCAGCCCCCTGTGATGTTGTGGTGTGACTTGGTGGCCCTGTGTGAGGCCACAGTGGGACACGGCAGCCCTGTGTGCCGTGGTGTGGCACTGGTGTGTGGCACTGGTGTGTGTGACACGCTGCCCCGCGGGACCCACCGGCGATGTCGCACATCTCGGCCTCCGTGGCATTGGCCAAGGCCTCCTCCAGCTCGGGCTCCAGCGTGATCTGCTCCTCCCGGGGGATCTCCCGCGTCGGGTTCTTGGGCACAAAGGGCTTCCCTGGGGGACACGGGTCACACCTGGTACCAGCTGGTGGCACTGGGGGGGGGGGGGGGGG